ATAAATCTGAGTTTGACACAAACTTGGATTTATGATAATTGGCCGGCTTTAGCAATCGCGATCGCAATCATAATCATCTAATCATTAAAAAAAATTAATTCTGTAATCATAGGGGGTCACAAAATTATGCAAACCGCAATAATAATAATTAAAATAAGTATCGTTATATCAATCGATATCAGTCATATTATTTGAAACTCCGTACTGATGGTTATGCTAAGTTCGTGACTGATCTTGGTGGTTATGCTAGGTTCGTGGTAATGTTATATTTACCCAATGTAAGCCACGTTTGTTTGTTTGCCAACACAACTACGCCCTTTGTTTTTATTAGGGCTTCGAAGTTTTACTTTGCTCCATCAGGATTGGGGGCATGAGAAATTTTTGGGGCATGCCTTCTAGGCATGTCTTTGTCTAAGGCATGCCTCTTTATGCCTCTCCTAAACATCAGATAATTTATTGTTCAAATACAAATCAATTTCACTAGATCACATGATAGGGACATATCCATAAACCCTGTGCTCTAAACCTTATTTTTCAGAGGTTCGTCATTTACGAAACTGAGTATAATTAGATTACCTGAGCAACCACTATAAATATTTAAAATTATCATGAAAAATATGTATAAAACAAGAAAGCCTGTATTGAATTATAATAAACGTGAATCATGCCTTCAAGCTTTAATCCCATAGACATTTAAACACGACAACAATTTATATACTGTTTTACATTTCTTATATAGTTGTTGGACGATAAGAACCAGATATCATGTCAACTGTTGTCAATGTTGAAGAAAAGACAGAAAAGACAGAAAGATGTTTAGCTATTAGTCCAGAAGGCGACTTTGTAGTTGAATTTGGTAAAAGTTCTAGGATAATCTATTTAACATGATTTGTATTATCGTTATTCAATCAATAGATTTACATAAAATACTTTTTCATATATTTGGTCCATTTAGTACAAAGTAATTTCGAATTACGCATGTATAATGTAGAAAATCCGGGTAAAGATGACCTGAACGTAGAGGACAATAAGAGGTTATCATATAGAACACTTTCTCATGGTTCAAAATTAGACTTTAGTGAACTGATTAGTTCCATGAAAAAGCCCATAAAAAATATGTTGAAATGGTCTGTTGCCGTGTCAGATAAATCAATTAATGAATCAATGGAATTTAGATTACTAGCGATATCTTGTATTAGTCATGAAGACATGAGGCCTAAAAAGGAACGTCAAGTAGATCATTACAAAGATCGTGGATTTACCATGGTTTTTCGTATTAACAAAGATAAAGATGATTATTCAATTATTGATGTGAAAGATAAAGAGCTACTAATTGAATATGGAGGAATTGTCAAATTATTTTCTAATCAAGATAACCAAAAAATTATTAATGATCAAAAAATAGACGAATATTTTCTTATACTCTTAAAAGCCTCAGGGATCTATAAGTATCACTTGAAGTACTTGAGAAATGAACTTAATAACAAGGTTCAAAAGTTAAAATACCCAAAAAGAATACGCAATACTATTGTCTATAATAGTAATCCCACTCACACGTCTCAATATATGAAAATTAGCGAAATGTGTGTAGAATATATTCAAAAATGTTTACATAAGCATTATTTTTTAGTAGATAGTAAACATGAGAATGTCCCATACATGGAACTTTATGACTTAAAAACAAACCAATTAATAAATACTTTCCAGAGGCAGAATATAAAAACAAACTTAAGTTTTATAATTGATATTCCCGATACGTTTGCGATATCAAACAACGATAAATTATTAGCTTACAATTCCAAATATCAAATCAATATATATTTGATTGAGTGTGGTATTGAAATAGCATCTATGGAGATTGATAAGTTTACCGAAAATTTTAATAAAGTTTTCATGCAATTTTTTCACAATGACGAGAAATTATTGGTATATCTGTCAGAAGACAATTGGTCTATCTGGGATATTTTCTGCTCAGTACAAAGATCCATTAAACTCCAAGATCCAACATTTAAGTTCGATATTACTGAAGTTCCATTGGTGCTGTCAAATTCATTTTTGGTATTTATTAAAAAAGATGAGCTGAACATTTGTGATGATTTGATTATAGATAAACATTTTAAACTTATGAATGAAACAAGTGACAAACATGTTTGGAAGGAGCTAACGCTGAAAGAAGAGGAAGAATATTTTATCGTGGATCTTGGCGATCAAAAACAAAAAGAATTAGATAAATATTATCATGTAATTGAGCCATGGGTGCCTATCCTATGCGATCCGCGATATTCATTTAATCTTGATAAAGAAAACGAAAAAGAAGTACTTTTAATTGGAAACCGTACGATTCAAGTTTGGCGTGATCTAAAAAAGTCTAAAAGAAGGGATCTTAAATTCGTTTGTGTGATTAGTGATATGAATGAAAAGTTTGAAGTAGTCGATCTTACCAAGGAAAAAATGTGTGGTTTTGAGGTTAAACAAGTCGAATATGCCGCTGGAAAATTTAAAATTTTAATTAAACTTAAACATGCTGAAGATGCTGAAGAAACATTCCAACTTAAAATTGATGATGATTATGACATTATCGATACCGTGAAGTGTGCTTGCTACGCACTAAAATATTTTTCTGGTCAAAAACAGTCCGAAATTCTTTTAGATGAAGATCGTCATTCAAAATTTAACGATATCATCAAACAAACACGAAATATTATAATAAGGTTTATTAAACTTTATCCAGTCATTTGGCGTTTGTTAGACGTCCGCTTTGACTTGATGAGCGTTCTTATTGAATCGAAGGAATATGCTCTTATAAATGAAATTTTATTTGGTGCAACTGCTTCACTTCACGTGCCGCAATATTCTTCGTGGTCGGGTGGAAAAAATACAATTCGTAAAGCTTTTTCTGGTTAGATACTTAAAATTTCCTGACTATTTGCGAATTATTGTACACGTTAGATATTAATTAACATTTTTCTTATCTAACCAAAGATCCGACTATTCTGGCATACCTTTTAGAATATTATTCGAATAATGCGATTAATAACATTGGATGGATGAATACTGTAGTTGAAATCATACCAGATTTATATCGTGAAAATTATGGTGTAGATTATGCTCCCTATGCTCGGAAATTATTTCAACATCCTTGTTTTTGCAACAAACAATTGGATTTATATCATTTCGAATTTCTTGAAATTTCACCAAATATAAGTGGTTTGATGAAAATTTTTATACCTATAACACAGTTGATTCCACAAGAATCCACGTTGGATCTACAAGAGATTAAGTATGAACATTATTTACAAGTTACTATGTTGATTTTGTTAATATTAATTCGGCTTCATTTTTAAATTTCCCATAGCTATGATAAAATTTCTGATATTCGAATGATTCCTTTAGTCGATTTCACGATAAATAAAAAATTAATGTCTGGTTCAGGAGGAATAATCACGATTTTAAAGTCTTTATTTCTTATTGATCGTATTTATCTGTATTTTTCTTGTAAAATAATGGATTATAGTCCCTTTATTCAACTTATAAAAAGCAGCGAACGCGATATTTTTGATGAAAATCCGTCTATAGGAGCTGCTATGACTTGGATGTTGCATTGTTCCAAACGTTTTGGGACTAGACCCTTATATATTTATATCTTATATTTTTTAATTTATTCATTTATTTCCTGGGCATATATTGCCCACATTCAAATTTCTGGTAGATTTCTTCATATTCTGATGATTGTAATAATTGTATTATTTTGTTATTTATCTTATTATCATATTGCAATTGAATTTCTCCAATTTTATCATAGAGGAAAAGAAAAATATTTTTCAGATCCTTTTAATTTCGTAGATCTTTTAACGTTTTTCTTACCGTTATTTATTTTTATTTATATTTTGACTTTCCATTATTCTTTTGATGATGGGTTTAAAAATGCAAAAAGCAACCAAACTTTATCAATTTTTGTTTCTTTAAGCATTTTAGTTCTTTGGTGCGAATTCGTAAGTATATATTATTTGATTTTATGTTTTTGCAAGTTTTTTTTATGCCTTATTCTGTTATTTATTCTATGCATTATCATATAGGTTTTATTATTACGAATCTTTCAAGGTACTTTCATACTAATTATGTTTCTTAATTGGGGATTGTCTAAACTTATGTTTATAAGATTATCGTTATTACAAAATTAGACTTCGCGCATTATCTCTATATAATCTCGAATATCATTTTTTCTATACGATTGTTTTTATTTTTTTTTGCTTTGACAGTCATTGGAATGGTAACTAATTTTTATTTACAGTCTGTTATTTTTATATATTAATAGGAAAATCCTATGTGGCATCCGGGAGGACATCTCGCTAGGGTCAAACTCGAATTATAGATAGATAGTGATGGCAGTACTACCCGGATGTCACCTAGGTGTCTCCTTTTTCTAATAATATTAAAAATAAATTTTAATTCATACCGTCTTATCAGGGGCATACATTGTAAGTTTAATCATAAATGTTTGCTAAATCACATGCACATTTAATTTTGATTATTTATTATTGTTCAGGTTTATTCTTCTTGGTTATCCATTATATATTGGGTTAAGTCAATCTCCGGAAACATATGAAGTTACAAATGGAAATGTTGTCTATACAATGACTCAAAAAACCTTGGATAATCCATTTTCAAACTTTTTTCGTGCTATACTTTCAGTATATAACTGGTCTTCAATTTCACTAGATACTTGGAATTTCTGGCCGCTTGCAGTAATTAGTTTACTCGGTGGAGTTTTTTTTGCAATAATTTTGCAAAATGTGATCATTTCATTTATGAAGTACGTATGTTTTAAGCCATTATATCATCCTGTTATTTTTTTTTACTAATCAAATTTTCTCAAAAAAAGTGATGCTTTTTCAGATGCGGTTGCAAATAGCAAACGTGCTGTATATAGTTTTCAAAGTGACTTAATTTATGAATATGCAATTCATGAAAATTTACCGAATTATATTAATGATATAGATTCAAAATTTAAAGATAAATTAAGGGCAAGGTATATCTGTTTTTATGATGAACCATCTATTACACAAACATGGAAAGAAAAATCTAGCAAGTTAGAATTTGAACCATATCCTCAAATAACTAAACCTGAGTTTGATCCTTTATTAATAGAAAAAAAAAAAAAAAGTTAGAAGAAAACATTTATGATTTTTTTTCAACTGAGAAAGAATAATTAAATTCTTTACAGATAAAAACAATATAAAAAATATAGTGCAGACAACCTAGTTTCGACAAATAAATTTGACTAAATTCAAAATGCTAATTCTTATTGACAATAAACAAAAATCTTTTATAAAATATTAAGCAATTTATTCTAAACACTTTTGGTTTAATTTTTTTAAAAATTATTTTTAATGAAGTAGTTACTAATCAAAAACATGTAATTTGATCTATGATATTTATATAATATTTAGAAATAAATTGATTTTCAATAGTCAAAATATAAAATTCAATAGCTAATATTTATATAACAATCATTTTTCTACAAAAATTCAAAAAAACTCTTTCTGACAATCCCTTAGCACAACAACCAAAAACCTAACTATAAAAAAATATTATAGAAAATGCTAGAGTAAGTAATAAACTTGGTTTTATAGAAGTAGGTGTGTTGTAGACGAAGTACCAAAAGTGTAAAACTGGGGAGTGGTTTGTTTTGGACTGGTTTTTGTAGAGGTCAAGCTTTGGTTGATAGACTCCTCTATTATATTTAGCATCCAAACTAGAAGAATATTTTGAGAACACAGAACTATTAGGTTGACACCAAGAGTATTTCAAGCTTTGGGTTATCTATACAACTATAAAACTTACAAGAAATAATTACAAAAAAGTCTTGTTAGTCTATATTTTTTTTTGAGTAAATTTTGTCAAAAAAGCGGGTATCTTAGTTTACTTCTTCCAAAAGATCGATATATAATTTTCTAAAACAGCTGGTATTGTTGATTATTCAAAATAAGAAATTATCTTTGTGTATTTACTTTTAAATAAACCAGGTAATTCATGTGACCAAATTAGTTATGAGTAAGGCTTATCTCAAGATAGTAAATATAGTGATCTAAAAAAGCGAAGTTTGAGACAACATGTGAGGATAATGTGACTTGAATGCCATTAATTATCTTTTTCAAGTGTATCAACAAAATTTTTATACTTATATAATATCTGAAAAAAAATTTAAGTTCGTTTAGGTTAGGGTTAGGTTCTATATTAAGGTAGTTTTAATAATAAAATCATTCAAAGAAAACTTTTTGTTAAGGCCCAGAAGATGATTTCCTATACAGATTTTGAGTTGTAAGCAATTTGTATCAAAACAAAGGTTTGTTTTAAATTTTTCTAATTGTGTAATATTATACTAAATCGAGATTCATTATTGGGTTATCTTTATCAATTATCATATAAGCATAAAAATTATATAGTAATTTTGTTAGCACATCTGAAAAGATTGCTATTGATCTATTAACAATACTCTGAGGCTACCAGCACAGGTTCAGCTATTCTGTCTAGTTTAGTTAGGACTCTGATATTTATTATCTAATATTTTATTTACTATAGAGCTCTACCCCTCCCTCAGATAATATTTTTATTAACCAATTAAATTTTAATATTATATTGAGGTAAGGTTTGGCTTTACCCCACCCCTAAAATATTACCTAATAAATGTTAGCACCCTTACTAGTTTAGCTATTTTTTTTTATGTATTATTTATATTTTTTTCTTTTGATGATGGGTTTAAAAATGCAAAAAGCAACCAAACTTTATCAATTTTTGTTTCTTTAAGCATTTTAGTTCTTTGGTGCGAATTCGTAAGTATATATTATTTGATTTTATGTTTTTGCAAGTTTTTTTTATGCCTTATTCTGTTATTTATTCTATGCATTATCATATAGGTTTTATTATTACGAATCTTTCAAGGTACTTTCATACTAATTATGTTTCTTAATTGGGGATTGTCTAAACTTATGTTTATAAGATTATCGTTATTACAAAATTAGACTTCGCGCATTATCTCTATATAATCTCGAATATCATTTTTTCTATACGATTGTTTTTATTTTTTTTTGCTTTGACAGTCATTGGAATGGTAACTAATTTTTATTTACAGTCTGTTATTTTTATATATTAATAGGAAAATCCTATGTGGCATCCGGGAGGACATCTCGCTAGGGTCAAACTCGAATTATAGATAGATAGTGATGGCAGTACTACCCGGATGTCACCTAGGTGTCTCCTTTTTCTAATAATATTAAAAATAAATTTTAATTCATACCGTCTTATCAGGGGCATACATTGTAAGTTTAATCATAAATGTTTGCTAAATCACATGCACATTTAATTTTGATTATTTATTATTGTTCAGGTTTATTCTTCTTGGTTATCCATTATATATTGGGTTAAGTCAATCTCCGGAAACATATGAAGTTACAAATGGAAATGTTGTCTATACAATGACTCAAAAAACCTTGGATAATCCATTTTCAAACTTTTTTCGTGCTATACTTTCAGTATATAACTGGTCTTCAATTTCACTAGATACTTGGAATTTCTGGCCGCTTGCAGTAATTAGTTTACTCGGTGGAGTTTTTTTTGCAATAATTTTGCAAAATGTGATCATTTCATTTATGAAGTACGTATGTTTTAAGCCATTATATCATCCTGTTATTTTTTTTTACTAATCAAATTTTCTCAAAAAAAGTGATGCTTTTTCAGATGCGGTTGCAAATAGCAAACGTGCTGTATATAGTTTTCAAAGTGACTTAATTTATGAATATGCAATTCATGAAAATTTACCGAATTATATTAATGATATAGATTCAAAATTTAAAGATAAATTAAGGGCAAGGTATATCTGTTTTTATGATGAACCATCTATTACACAAACATGGAAAGAAAAATCTAGCAAGTTAGAATTTGAACCATATCCTCAAATAACTAAACCTGAGTTTGATCCTTTATTAATAGAAAAAAAAAAAAAAAGTTAGAAGAAAACATTTATGATTTTTTTTCAACTGAGAAAGAATAATTAAATTCTTTACAGATAAAAACAATATAAAAAATATAGTGCAGACAACCTAGTTTCGACAAATAAATTTGACTAAATTCAAAATGCTAATTCTTATTGACAATAAACAAAAATCTTTTATAAAATATTAAGCAATTTATTCTAAACACTTTTGGTTTAATTTTTTTAAAAATTATTTTTAATGAAGTAGTTACTAATCAAAAACATGTAATTTGATCTATGATATTTATATAATATTTAGAAATAAATTGATTTTCAATAGTCAAAATATAAAATTCAATAGCTAATATTTATATAACAATCATTTTTCTACAAAAATTCAAAAAAACTCTTTCTGACAATCCCTTAGCACAACAACCAAAAACCTAACTATAAAAAAATATTATAGAAAATGCTAGAGTAAGTAATAAACTTGGTTTTATAGAAGTAGGTGTGTTGTAGACGAAGTACCAAAAGTGTAAAACTGGGGAGTGGTTTGTTTTGGACTGGTTTTTGTAGAGGTCAAGCTTTGGTTGATAGACTCCTCTATTATATTTAGCATCCAAACTAGAAGAATATTTTGAGAACACAGAACTATTAGGTTGACACCAAGAGTATTTCAAGCTTTGGGTTATCTATACAACTATAAAACTTACAAGAAATAATTACAAAAAAGTCTTGTTAGTCTATATTTTTTTTTGAGTAAATTTTGTCAAAAAAGCGGGTATCTTAGTTTACTTCTTCCAAAAGATCGATATATAATTTTCTAAAACAGCTGGTATTGTTGATTATTCAAAATAAGAAATTATCTTTGTGTATTTACTTTTAAATAAACCAGGTAATTCATGTGACCAAATTAGTTATGAGTAAGGCTTATCTCAAGATAGTAAATATAGTGATCTAAAAAAGCGAAGTTTGAGACAACATGTGAGGATAATGTGACTTGAATGCCATTAATTATCTTTTTCAAGTGTATCAACAAAATTTTTATACTTATATAATATCTGAAAAAAAATTTAAGTTCGTTTAGGTTAGGGTTAGGTTCTATATTAAGGTAGTTTTAATAATAAAATCATTCAAAGAAAACTTTTTGTTAAGGCCCAGAAGATGATTTCCTATACAGATTTTGAGTTGTAAGCAATTTGTATCAAAACAAAGGTTTGTTTTAAATTTTTCTAATTGTGTAATATTATACTAAATCGAGATTCATTATTGGGTTATCTTTATCAATTATCATATAAGCATAAAAATTATATAGTAATTTTGTTAGCACATCTGAAAAGATTGCTATTGATCTATTAACAATACTCTGAGGCTACCAGCACAGGTTCAGCTATTCTGTCTAGTTTAGTTAGGACTCTGATATTTATTATCTAATATTTTATTTACTATAGAGCTCTACCCCTCCCTCAGATAATATTTTTATTAACCAATTAAATTTTAATATTATATTGAGGTAAGGTTTGGCTTTACCCCACCCCTAAAATATTACCTAATAAATGTTAGCACCCTTACTAGTTTAGCTATTTTTTTTTATGTATTATTTATATTTTTTTCTTTTTATATATATTATTAAATTAGAGTTAGATACAGAGCTTCTTTAGCTTGTAATATATAATTTTTTAAAGTCTAACATAGGTTTATAATTGTAATCTGTCAGATTCTCTCTTTTTTTTTTCTCTATATTTCATTGTTGTTTTTGTTTTTAGTATTAGTTTTCATTTATTTTTCTTTTTCCTTAGTATTAGTATTAATATTAGTATTTTTTTTCTTTCTACTTTTCTATAAAAAGATATTATCAGTTTGGTAATATCCTATTATAGAGCAGTGGTCTGACAGTACCTACTGAGATAAATAGAGTTTTTAGTTTAAAATTTATCATAATATATTCATATAGATATGTTTGCTCAACATAGCTAGTCACTTATAAGTACTCTCACATAGTAATGTGTTGAAATAACTGTGGAATATTGAATCCAAATATTAACAGCTATCATTCATTTACCCAATGTCTAAGATCATTAATAAAGAAATCTTAGCAAAACAGCCAAAGTAGAAAAAAAATATTTATATAACAATTAAAAAAAAATTAACATCTAATTTTAAATTAATTATTAAAAATTTTATAATTGTTAATTAAATTTTTTATAAATAATAGTTAAAATTTTATAACCAATAGTTGAAGATTTTAAAACTAATAAAGATTTTAAAGTTAATAGTTAAAGATTTTAAAGCCAATAGTTAAATATTTTAAAGCTAATAATTAAAGATTTTAAAGCTAATAGTTAAAAATTTTAAATCTAAAATAATATTAAAAAAATTAATTAGCTTTTATATTCATTTAGATTAATTCTAAAATTTTTTTTAGGCTATAATAAATAGATAGTGCCAATTATATAAAATTAATTTTACTTTTTTTACTTTGGCTATCTTGATAATATTTTTTATTAAACTCAATTGTCCAGTCAGACAAAAGCACATTTAAATAATTATAATATTTAGAATCTAATATTCTGCAATTACTTCTAAAAGCATTCACAAATAGTTAGCTGTATCAGGACAATATATCAAAAAAAATAAGTTCAATATTTTGACTTGTCAAAGGAAAGCTAAAATAATTTAAAAGACCTTGTTAGACTACTACTTTACAATAAAATATCACCAATCTGATAATATTTTTTTATAGAGAAGTAAAAAAAAAAAAATACCAATACTACTAATACTAATACTAAAAAAGAAAAAAAAGAAATAATAAAAAAAATTAATATAGTCAAACCTCTCTATAGTCACACCTTTGGAATACAAAAAACTGTGATTGTAAAGAGATGTGACTAATATAGAGATATTTTCTATATAGTTATAAATAATTGATAAAAATAAATTTGTAATTATACCAATTTTGTGACTATAGAGGAGGTGACTATAGAGAGGTTTGACTGTACTAAAACTATATATGCCGACGAAATTAATTTAGGTTTTGGGATACGAAATTAAAATTTGAAAACAAAATTGTTTTTGACCTATTTTACTTAAAAGATAAAATTTTTTGATACTTTTTTTGAAGAAATAAAATTATAATAAACATAACTATCTAAATTAGATTTGCTATTGCATATAAAAAAATTTAAATTGCTCTAATAGAGATGAAATAAAGTTTTTTTGAAAACCTATTTTGGTGGCATATATAACTAAAACTAATACTAAAAAAATTAGAAAAAAAAAGAATTTGATAGTTACAATTATAAGTCTGTATTAGGCTTGAAACAATTTTATATATATAATAAAGTAGCTCTGTATTTAATTATATCCTAATATATCAATACAGATTAGCTTAACTCTTTCTGATGATCATCTGGTTAACAAAAATCAAGAAATCGAATTATAGTCAGTACTATAGAAGACACTAAAGTAAATAATAAACTTGGGCCTACAGAAGTAGGTGTGTTGTCAACGAAGTACCAAGAGTATAAAACCGAGGTGTGGTCTACTTTGGACTGGTTTTTGTAGAGGTCAAGCTTTTCTTCTGGTGAACTCCTCTATTATATTCGGCATCCAAACCAAAGGGTATTTTGGAAACACAAAATGACTAAGTCATTATCAGGAGTATTATAAACTTTAGGTATATCTATATAACCATAAAACTTACAAGAAACAACTACAAAAAAGTTTTGTTAGCCCACCACTTTTTTTCGAGGAAATTTTGTCAAAAAGTAAGCATCTTAGCTTACACCCTCCAAAAGATCAACATGTAATTTTCCAAAATAGTCGGTATTGTTTATCTGTTTATGTGAGTAGACTTGATTACCAAAATGGGAGAGTAGCAGGATGACCAAAATAAGCAACTGAGATCAGGCCCTATGACAACATAATCATATACTTCAAGCTAAAAAACTATTAAAACAATACTTTAAGACTACTATTCATTTTGGTTCATTTGGGCTAACTCTATCTAGAGTGACTACGGTATCTAGTTTTAACCAGCTTTTTTAACTTTTTTCACCTCTTAAGCATAGTTTATTAGGATAGAGAATGTTATAGAGCTTCTTTATCTAGTAATATATAATTTTTTAAGGTCCAACACAGGCCAATAATTGTAACTATCAGATTCCTTTTTTTTCTTTTTATCCCACCTTTCATCATTGTATTTATTTTTTTTTTAGTATTAGTTCTTGTTCTTTTTCTCTCCTCTTTTTAGGATTAGTATTAGTATTAGTAGATTTTTTTTTGTTTTTTCACTTCCCTATGAGAAGATGTTATCAGATTAGCAGTATCCTATTGTAGGGTAGTGGTCTGATATTGTTCCTGAGGTTGGTTTAGATTATTTGGCTTAGGTCATTAATCTAAATCATCAAGGTCCTTTAATGGAAGTTCGGCCCAGTATAGCTGGTCATTTGTAAGTGCTCTTGAAGTAACTGCAGGATGCTAGGCCTAAATATTAAGCTCAACATTATATGATTTATTTGTATAATAATCTTAATAAAAGATCACTAGCAAGACAGTCTAAGTGGAAAAATATATATATATATATATCCTAATATATATACTAAAAAAATACTTTTGCAGAAAAAAATAATAACTAAACTAAAAAAAACTATATTAATCATAGATAGAATAGTTAAAGAATAGCCTTAAAATATTGTTAACAGATCTCTAATATTCAAGACATATAACTAGTGTGTTGTTATTAAGATTATTAACTTCATCACTTTTGAAAATCATATTTACAGAAGTATACTTAATAATATTTAAGTGTTTTTATTAATTCTTTTTATATATTTCAATATTAATGAAATAAATAAAAACAAATTTTATATAAAATAATAATTTTATTAAGAATATTATAAATAATAAAAGAAAAAAATAAATACAAAGCTACAAAATTTGTAATTTTTATAATTCTTATACAAGAAAAATAATAAATTCTTTATTTCAAACCAATTTTCACTTTTCGTCCAATTTTTCTTATTTGCTTCTAAATCA